GTTAAAGTAGGCACTCTATCTTGGTGCTCCGTAATTCATGACAATAATTTGGAGAATAAAATTATTAACACCAATATCTGTTCCCAGCTGACTGATTTTCTCCTGATTACTGTGCAGATGAAAATGTTGACTGGGGACTAAGATATGTATGAAACTCCTGGTAGAATGAGCAAAAGCGGATTTGGTTTATTTTTTTAATATTTCAAAGGTAAAAGGCACCTGGAAGACAAAAAAAAAAAGACCTAACAAGACATTTTAGGTTGCCTTTGTGCATAATGAAAAACATACAGATGATTTTTTCTTTTTAAGCTATTAATTACCTTCTTGTAACTGTCCAAATTACATTCCTATCTGCTATGGCTAAAAATAAGTAGATATGAATGCTGCTGAATCTGGGGGTGTAGCTGGGTTTGTAGTGATTTATTCTTTTCTTTCTCCCCCTGCTAATATTAATAGATCTAAATCCCTGTTCTTTTTCTCCTTCTCCCGTTGCTTTCTTCTAGGCTTTATGTTTCCTTCTGAAAGAATAACATCTTAAAATTGCACCATTAGGCACAGAACACTAGAAGGGAAAATTCTGACCAGAAGTGGTTTTTTTTCTCATTGATATTGCATGATCTTAAGGGTAAGAGAGAGACTTAGCCTGTAGTGTCCATGCTTCTGGATTTGGTCATAAGTTTGTGTGCTTTGGAGCCTTCAGCCACATCCTGGAAATTGCAGCAGGCGAGAGTGTGTGGCTGGGTGGGTCTGCCCACAAGGGAAAAACGTATGAATCCCAACTCATACTAGTTCAAAGACAAGACTTCATACTGAGACCACTGCAGTCTGACAGGCCATGACCTCCTTTTGGGACAGAGCAGTCTTCTTGCTGTTATCATACTGAAATCAAACAGAGCATCAGATATTCAAGCTCTGAGCTCTTCAAAGTGACCAGCCCATTACAAATTTAAAAAGTACTCATTTCAAATTGAGTGCCATTCTGCCCTGAGACTGACACATATGCTTTCGTCTGAATTACTTTCATGATTTTGCATTTTTAAAAAAATGCAATTACTTTTGCTGAGATGTATTGAGTGTACTTACTGCCTTCATATCCCAGTATTTGCTGCAGCAGAGCGGGCTGGCTGGTACTTCCCAGGGAGGCCATCTTGGCTCCATGGCTGCACCCCAAACAGGTCCCCCATGCACAGTACTTCCCCAAGGTGCACCTTTTCTCCCACACATTTACACCCTCGGGACCTCTCCTCGCAATCCCTGGAGCTACCTTCCCCAGGACGGCTGTGAGACCACGGAGGCTGTGTTTCGCGGTGACGCCTGGAGTCAGCCTGCCACGACCTCAGGCCCCCCCCCGCG